TGTTCCAGAATATACTGAATTATTTTTAAAAATTAAAATAAATTAAAAGAAAAACTTATGTTTAACTTATACTTAAAACTTACTGAACTACAGAAATGCAGGTTATCATCAAATTTTCGTTTGGAAAAGATAAATCTCCGTACAGAATATAAGAAGATTAAAAATATTCCATTAGGTTCGAATGTTATCGCAGCTCCGAATGCTTTCCTGCGATGATTCCTCGTCTAAACACAATGCATTTTTACGCTTACTAAATGTTGTTACTTAGATATTTTACAAACATTTGCTAGTAACAATAGGAAACGTATATACTTCAAACGAAAACATACTTCAGTTTGAAGGCAAATTCTCAAATTTGCAACTAAATATAATTCATACAAATCTTCCATTCCATAGAAGTTATAGTAAAAATCAGATCTTAAGGAATCAAAAACGTCTCCATAAAAATTGATATAAATACAAAACAATAAAATTCTGAAAAGAAAAAAAAAATGCAATTTAAAAAAAAAAAAAAAAGATTTTGATTTACAGCAAATAAATAAAAAATCTTAGCAAACGCGCCAAAAACATAATTAAACCCAGTCTGTGTGACGTGATAACTGTTTTTATCTAAGCTTTTAGTCCTATCAACTTGTGAAGTTAATATTTNAACGTCTCCATAAAAATTGATATAAATACAAAACAATAAAATTCTGAAAAGAAAAAAAAAAATGCAATTTAAAAAAAAAAAAAAAAGATTTTGATTTACAGCAAATAAATAAAAAATCTTAGCAAACGCGCCCAAAACATAATTAAACCCAGTCTGTGTGACGTGATAACTGTTTTTATACATCAAACACTAATACCTTCTAAGCTTTTAGCCCTATCAACTTGTGAAGTTAATATTTAGTTTGGCGTAATAACATACAGTAGAAACCTATACTTTACACTTGGCTAAATAGGATTATTAAGTTTCTTTCCCCGAATACGAGCTATTTTAAACTAAAATCTATTAAAATATATAAATAATAATTAAATAAACACATGCTATTGCTAATTTCTTCTTTTTTATTCGCGTCGCTGGTTAGACTTAATGACTCAAGTTATAGCTACTACTGACGATTCACGGCTTAATGCCTCCTTAGACTACAAAGAATTGGCTGCATTGAAAATCAAAATTTTGAATTCATGTAAAAACGATATTCGATAGAACTTTTCCCTATTTCTTCTGTTATCACCGTCCAAAAATCTGTTTCTTTTGAAGTTGCAGGCCTGTGTAATGACTTGAACTATCTTTTTTACGCATTTGTTAATTCGTTGGGAAGAGATCCTGCGAATGGCATCGTGGTTGATAAAAATGTCCTGAAATTATGATAGATTGCACGCATGCGAAGAGAGTCGTCTTTAATTAGCATTTTACTTTTGGCAGCATGCCCACACTGTATCAAAATATACTTATAATATATATTGAAATCGAAAAAGATTTTCTAAAAAAGAAAACCGTTAAAAGCTCCTGATATAATTAGAGAATGAAAAGTGAGTATTTCTTCACTTTAATTAGTAGAGATGGACAATTTGAACACATTGAAATATGCATATTTAAATCATTTCACATAACCTTCAGGTGCGTAAAGGTGCTTTTCGAATACTGTCTCTTTCTTCCATGGAAAACGACCAGTACTATTCAATGGCATGTGAAGAATTCTTTTTTTCCTAGAAAGTTGCATTTCCTGTGCACATATAATCCGTTTAAAAGATACCGATATAATTAGAGTATGAAAAGTGAATACTTTTTGACTGGTTTGTGAAGATGGATAATTTGAATGCATTGGAAATGCGTATATTGTAATTATTTCAAGTGACCCTCAGGTGTGTCAAGGTGCTTTTCGAATACAATAGAGTACTGTCTCTTTCTAAGATGAAAAACTTCCAGTACTATTCAAAGATATATGAAGGATTCTCTTTTCCTGGAAAGTTGCATTTCCTGTGCACATCTCTGTTAGAAGAAAGGAAAAGATTCTAACGGGTAGTGGGGGGGGGATGAACTGCTTTGTTATGCATAGAGAAATGACAAGTGCAATAATGGTCCCAGATCATCTACTTTCACACCTATTGTAAATGAGTAATAAATAGGGCCACAAAAATTTGGAACTGCCCACAAGTCGTCATTAGAGTATAAAGCTCTTTCTTAACTTCTTGACAACCTGTCATTTTTCGCATTAAGATTCTCAATCTTTTCTAGGAGTATCAGCAGAAAAGTTTAAAAATGCAGTATTTCAATTACGTTCTTTTTTTTTTTTAATAACTATTCAGAATTCATTTTATTCAATGTAGTCTTTACATTTTAAATTTTGAAAATAAAATAGGCGTAAATTCTTGTATTCCTTACAATTTAAATTTCCTTCAACCACTATTCAATAATTTTTTTCGCATGTGTGCGATATATATTATATTTCATAAAATAAAATGACTATCTGAAACTTCGCATTTCTTTTTCCTTAACTGAAACAACAAATAGTAATAGTGATCCAATTAAAGGATAGGTAGGCAATATTAATACATTTTTTTTTATATACATACTTTTATCCTTATATTTAAACAAAAGTGTTTAATAAAAGCTTTTTACCAAACAACTACATATAACAAAACTATATATATACATATTCTTTTTAGAAAAACTATTTCTTTTTAAACAAGGTGTAATGGTTTAACCATCATGAGTAGGATTGCAAGTTTGTCCCGGCGCAAATAATCAATACTTTCTCACAAATCCAAAAATTTCAGAATTGCTACAATTGACGCGATAATTGTTTAAAACGTGATATTTTTTTTTTCGTTACACTTTCACTTACAATTTAATCTGAAATTTCAAAATTTTACAACTAATAAAACGTTAAGGCACTGTCAAAAAATCCTTCTAGAGAAAAATTAATAAGGGTATCATACCTCCAGCACAAAAAGAATACAAAAGGAAAAAATTTTGTTAAGCGTTCGAAAATTATCTGAAAAGAGGATTACTGAGTAAATAATGTTCATCCACAGATAGTAATAAAAGTATTAAGAAGTTAGTGAATAAAACTAATATGTCATATTTACGCTAAATAAGAAAGGGAATTAATTAAAATAGAATTAACCTATATTTAAATATAGGAAATCTCATTAATATAAGTATGAAAATCTTATTAATACCGTATTATCGCTAAACAGAAAATCTAACAACATCCAATGCAAGAGATCTGGTATTTTCCAAAGAGGAAAAATGCTATTTTTTTGACAATTCCATGCCCCCCATAAAAGAAATGATAAGCATGATACTTGATGCCTTAACGTTGATCAAAAAAGTCCTCTCATAATGCCATTTTGAAAACCATAAAAAAATGTCTACTAAAAATGTGGTAAAACTATCCACTAAATTCAATCGCTGAATTGCAAGCAGTTCTGTAACCTGCTGGCTTCCCTTTAACAATAAATATTTCATACAATTGTATTGAAGTCAGAAAAAAAATTAAAAGTTATTCAGCACAAAAATCTTTCTGAGGTAGAGAATATTATGCAGCGTAATTTTCCAGATAAATCGTAATAAAAAGGAGAAAATACAAAAATTATATCTTCATTGACTGCTATGTTTTTTTTTTTTTTTTTTTTTTNTTGCGATTGTTAATAGTTTTTCTAGAGTATAATTCCCAAGCAAACACTAAATTATAAAAAAAAAACTAATTCGTTAGAGATTGTTTCAAGGGATTGCCTTGCCCTCCTCTCAGTTTCAATTTTCGATCAAAACAATTCGGAAATAATTTAAATGTTAACCAAACTTAAAATAATGAATTACAGTTTAGAAATAACCAAACGCTTTCACCACAGAATATTACTCACTCAAATAGTATAAAGACAAATTTTTAAGATTCTCACTATTGGAATAGAGATCAATTAACTCAACAATAAAGATAGTGTTTATTATTTGTGTACTGCGATTAGAGTTTTTTTAACTTTTTAAAGAAAGATTTAAAAGGTTTGCAATTTTTCAAAGCACTTTGCTTTTAATATTCAACTTGAAGTAACAAAAGAAACAGCTCAATCAGATCCCATAATTTACGAAGAAGAAAAAAATATTCTCCATACTTAATATTCCATATATAGATTTAATTGCTCAATTATTCAACATTTATAAATCTTGAATATTCACAGAAATACTAATAGCAAATACGGATTTCCTTTTTTGTTGAGGAAAAAATGCAGTAACACGAATTTAAATATCATAATTTTCTCATAAATTTAAGGATGGTTTTATAGTACTTAAAGCATTAAATATTAATATTCTGACAAAATAACTGCTTTAAATTTTAAACTAATCCAACTATAATTACAAATAAAATTATTTTGCCATGCAGATTTTCTCTTTATAAATAATGGATTGCATCCATATTTATAAAGCCACCATATTTATGTACCACATATATCCATATTATACAATACGGCATCTTTTTTTTATATAATTTTTTAATAAAATTGAAAACTAGTAATAAAAAAATTAAGAAATCTATTGCACTTTGCATTTAAGACTAGTAATAATTAATCAACATGTTTTTGCTAACATTCTGTTTGATTTTTTAAAAGGAAATAAAGATAATCAATAAAGATGACCACTGGTCAATGTTTTTAAGACAGGTCTCTAAGAGTATCAAGACAATGCTTACATCAGAGGTGTGATTTTTGGACGTTCTAAACTAATTAACAGAACACTTTGAGATTCACTGTCGTTAAAATTATGACTGATCATAAAGACAAAACAATCCAGAACAGTAATGTTAGAAAAAACGTTTTCAAGTAAAAAATATTAAAATTTTGGATAAAAAGTTTGCAAGTAGAAAACAAAGTCTGATCTGCGACACATGACAGATCTCTTGAAGACGTGATAATTCAACAAAACTTTTAGAAAGTTTAAAAAATGTTAAATAGAGCTGTCGATCGTTCGATTCTGTTATACATCAAATACAAATGATTAAAATAAATACAGGACTTACTTAAATTAGACATTGCTGATTAGATCTTAAAACAAAAATGCAGTCCAGGGTGTAAAATATCCAAAAGTAATCCAAAGAAATAATCCAATTTCACGCAAACAATGCAACGACATAACTAAACACAATACACAAGATTTAGAGTAAACAGACTACCACTTGTTTACAGGGACACGAAACGTCCTTCCAAGCACCAAGCAAACTAAGAACTATCCCCCGAAAAAAGTTGCCAGAGCGTACCACAAATTTTCGAAGAGCAGAAAAAGCGCCAGAATTGGTGAAAAAAAAACATGCCAAAGATAGAGAACTAGCTGATTGAGGTTGAAAGCGGAGGGGCGTCCGACAAGCGAGCAATTATTATGTTCCAAAACCAGTTCTTCATAATGACTTCATTGCCAAGGCACGGGGGAAAATTGAGTTATAGACGTTAGGGCCATAAATCAGCCAGCAGGATCTCTGGCAAAAGGGGACCAACCTATGACGCCCATTTCTTTTCTTTTTTTCTTTTGTTGGCGAAGATTTCTTGGATTTTGTGAAACAGGGGATACAAGAGTGCTTTGAGGTGTGTACAGACGCCATCCACTTTTTACCCTATTTGACAAAAAAATCGCCTTCACTGTCAAGTTTCTCGAGAGAGAGCGGGCAACCTCTAATTTGAAAGGGTAACAAAAATGTATCACTTTTCAAAGTTAGTTGACAGCGGAAAAGCGAGATTACTTATTTCGGTAAAAGATTACAGTTCCAAAGAATTTTTTTTTTTCTATTCTAAGTGTTTAGCAACGGAAATGTACTTCGGATTCCTAATCACTGGTTGCTACTTTAGATTGACTGGAACTCGGCCAACAAAAATTCTACAATAGTTCTTTTCATAGAATAATACAAATAAGAGTTCTCTGATGGTATAGTAATATTTATGATTGCTTGCCCATGCTAGAAGCAACGCGAATTTTTTTTTCCCTTTCTATATCACATTTTCCCGAAAAACATTCTACGAAGAAGAAAAATAATTACTTTCAGAAAAATAAAAAATGTTTCAGAAAATAACAAAACCCCAATGCAGTCGTTATTAATAAAATATATCAGTTTTCAGCAGAAAAAAAGAAACGCGGGTTCTAAATGATATTTATACTTATAAAATGAAAAAAATCTGACTCCTGAAATAATTTTTTTTTAAAGAAAATAATTTCTTTAAAGAAATAATTTCTCATTATTTAAGTAACACTTGGTCGAAAATTTGACGTTTAATATTAGAGTAATGAAACAATGAAGTTAACAATAAAAGCTATAGTTTCTCATAGTTGTGATTAGTGAATTGGTGAATACATCTATCCCAAGCGTTCAACATAAGACTCCATTTCGAATGTTTCTTTTTTTACAACCTTTAGAATTTTGCTCAGTATAGTTTGATGAATTTTATTTTATTATTGGTGTTAAACAACGAATCCCTGTCTGGTTTGAGACTACAACACTGTTCAACTCCGTGGCAGTGTAATTTTTAATCCAACAGAGAAAACAATGAAACTCCTGCATAAGCATTCGAACAAATACTTGTCCGATTAAGGTTTTTCTTCATAGCCCGCATTTGCGCTACGTGATGAGGAACATCTCTCATAGTTAGCCCGACGGTTATTTTATTTTATAACTGGCGTTGTGAACAGCCAACCCGATTCTGAGTTAACGACTATCATAGTTCAACTCCGTAGCCTTGTATTAGGTGGACAGGAAAGTAATGTCGTTTCGGTGCATTTGATATTTGTTATCAAGATTTTATTTTTTATCAATAATGTATTCACCTTCATTAGTAACATTTTTTCAATGCCGGATCGAAAAAAAAATTTACTGGATTTTAAAACTAATGAATATTTAATGCGCCGAAACGACATTACTTTCCGGTCGCCTAATAATTTTGAATTCAACCCAGAAGACAAGGTAAACTCCTGGTTCAAGCATTGGTAAAAACTAGCCTTCGTAGAGGACTTCTTGATATCACTAACTTGCATTTGCGAAACATGGAGAGGAAAACCAATGCTTCCCATGGTTAATCCAACAGCAAGGGGATTCTAACCCATGATCCGTCTATTACTGAGGACATTTTACGTCAGCGCTGTGGTTAGTGCGAGCTCGGTGCAGAATTCATATCGACCGGCCATCACTGGGATTCGAACCTGGGTTACCTCGTTGGGAACGAGTGCTCTATGAACTCCTGAACTTTACAACAGCACCGTGGTCGATGTGAGCCGCCCCCAGGACCTGAATCTGATTTGCCTCAATGGTAGGGGTAATATTCAATCGGGAGTTTCCGATACATTGTCTTATACTATATGATCGGTTATTTATCACAAATATAAAAAATATGTTTATGCATATATTATATTTTCCGCACCTGCGCCTACAAAAATTATTTTGTTTGCACACTCATACTTCGTTACGATATGAATACATTACACATAAGTTTTATATTTATCAGTGTAAATTTTAGTTATAAACTTAGCAAGTTAAAAGCAAAAAAAAAAGTGCGGTGAAATTCAGTTTTCTATGATTAACGCTTATATTTATGTGATAATTAATCACATTCAATAGCTTAGAGCTCAATGGCAAGAATAGAATCGGCCGTTAAATTAATAGAGAGAACAATAAAAATGAATAAATGTAATTATTTGAAATTATCGTTTTTTCTGCGACCAGAATCATTTTTGATAAAGGGGTACTTTTTTCCAAGTTCGATTTTTCTTTCCGTGATTCGTGTTCTTTGTTCTTTATATTCTCGAATTTACAAAACACTCCAATTTTACTGAACACAGAATTTCAAATAAATTTATTGACTCGCATTACCGAATCTACAAATTTTATTCAACGAGGAAATTTTTTCATTAATTCTAGATATTTGATTTGAAAATTAACACTTATCTGAATAAAATTGTAAACGGAATTATAAAAAAAAAAAAAAAAAATTAAAATAAAAGTGAAATAGTAAAGTATATTTTATGCACAGTGCAGAAAAAAATAAACCAACTAGCCTGAATAAGTTATCATATTTTAAGTTCAGGGGGATGACTTCCGATAAGCTGATTAATTACTGCGAACGATACTTTAAGTTACGAAATTAGACACAAAAACATACTTTCTCTGAATAAACATATCCTTTTTTCTACCCTGGATTTCTGACCTTCAAGCCGCAATCTAGGAAATATGGACCCCATAGTTTTGTCAGGAGAGTGGTCCAAAAATTGAACCCCTTAAGGTAAATTTTAATTTTTGAATATTTCGTCATATCTAGAAAACTTTTTAAGCAAAGCGAAACATTTTTGCACATAATTATAAAATTCGTTTTTCCAAAGATAATTCCATGCAAAAAATAGTTTTTAATAAGTATTCATTATTTTTTTTAAATTATTTTACTTAATAATAGTTGAAAAAATTTGAATTGTCGGTTATACAGTTTTTTGCATTATTTTATAGAAAGCTATTTTACATTACAAAATTTGAGTTTAATTAGTTGAATAGTTCCTGACAAACGAAATTTTCAAAATACGACGTTTGATTTGTTAGAATGTAATATTTATTTATTTTTGTTGTAAATTATGCGTCGGCTGACTCATATGTGTTGAGAGTATGAAGAAAATAAGAAGTACAGTATTAAGCACTCTATTTGTGAAAGAAATAAATAGTTGCATACAAATACACATTTATATATTTGTACTTCAAAAAGAAAAAATATAACAGAGATTTATGCTAAAAGAAGGGAAAATTTAGTTTGCAAAAACCACACTGCTGAGAGTCCTTTTGCCATCAGGCTAACAGCGGGAGTTTTTCGTGGTCTTCCTCTTCATGTAAAGCAAATGCGGGTTAGTTTCATCAAAAAGTCCTTTACAAAGGCAAATTTCTCACAATACTTGATCTAAGAGTTCCCTTGTCTTCTGAATTGGGTTCAAAATTACAAGGCTACGGTGTTGAACATTACTAGTCGTAAACAAGAAACATGGGGTCGGCCGTTCAACGACGATTATAAAAATAAAACAAAATCTCTTACTGAGACCTTTTTTACTGACTGCCATTTAGATCAGAGGTTTCCAATTTCTTTCGGCAATGGAACCCTAATTGAATAACGTTCTTTCAGCGGAACACTTCCCCTAATTTCAGAGATAAGGACAATTGCGAACGTATTTACTAATAAAAGACCTTATTTTAAAAACACAAGAATAAACTTTTTTAATTGTTTTAACAATTAAATCTTAAGTAAAGTTTTTAAGTCTGATATTTAAATTTGTAGTCACCCAATATTTTAATTCGTAGTTCGAAAAACCCGATGGGAAATAATAATGAAAGTTTTAATGCACGATCTTTTTATAATTTATACGATATAATGTTATAAGAAAAATTATCTATTTCTTTTCCAATGGCACTTTAAGGGCAATTGATCATTGATTGGATCTAACTGTAATAAAAAGTTTCAAAGGTTACTGATAAAAATAAATGTCCTCACTTTCGGAACTCCTTTAAATTTTCCACGGAACACCAATCGGGAACAACTGATTTAGACGGACAGTTAACTTTTGCCATAAAATTGTTGTTTTTATGGTAGTCATAATGTTCCTTTAAATTGGTATATCCCATTATATCGTTATTAATTATTAGTTTTAAAATTAGCCGTTAAAAGTAACAGTTACTTAGTATAATTGTCCTTCATTTCTACAGATCCCAAAACATCTAACTGTAATAAAAAGTTTCAAAGGTTACTGATAAAAATAAATGTCCTCACTTTCGGAACTCTTAAATTTTCCACGGAAAACCATTTAAAAATCGCTGATTTAGACGGATAGTTAACTTTTGATGTAAAATTGTTGTTTTCATGGTAGTAACAATGTCCTTCTAAATTGGTATATTCCATTATGCCGTTATTAATTATTAGTTTTAAAATTACCCGTTAAAAGTAACAGTTACTTAGTATAATTGTCCTTCATTTTCACAGATTCCAAAACATCTAACTGTAATAAAAAGTATCAAAGGTTACTGATAAAAATAAATGTCCTCACTTTCGGAACTCTTTTAAATTTTCCTCGGAACACCGTTTAAAAACCACTGATTTAGACGGACAGTTAACTTTTGCCGTTGTTTTTATGGTAGTAATAATGTTCCTCTAAATTGGTATTCTATTATGCCGTTATTAATTATTAGTTTTAAAATTACCCGTTAAAAGTAACAGTTACTTAGTATAATTGTCCTTCATTTTCACAGATCCCAAAACATCAACAGATAAAAAGTGCTCATAAAACTGTTGATGGAGATGCGAGAAGAACGGAGAGCCCACACTCTGCAGGCGACAGAGAGGAAAAAGGAAGTAAGATCAGCGGGGTGCGCGAGCTATAATTATCCCGCATCCCGTAGTATAATCCCCGACATTCCACAGCTGGCAATAAGGGAGGGGAGATCTCTCTT